TGTAGTTGGGTCCTGCCTTTGAGCGGTTAGAAGGAAAGGATGCCAGCAAAAATGGCTAATCCTTTTTCAGCTGCAGTAAATTGATGACTGGCCAAAGCCAAGTGGAAACCGCTGCAGTTAAAATGATTTTAGCGTCACGTCTTGCTACTGAGAACGGAGCGGCGCTTTACAAAAGGACCTGTGGATCAATGAAAAGGGGATTATAGTTTATCTGAATACGAATATGGCATTGCGTCTGTACTTTTACCCCCCCACCCCTTCGCTTTCTTTAGAACTGCAGGATTGAAATGACAGGTTTTGAGCTCTTCAAGCTGACTCATCAGAATCCTGGAGCATTTTTTTTTATGACGGTAATTTTCTCATGTTTTCCTATGTACGTGTGGAAACGCTTGTATGTGTGCGCGCGTGTGCGTGCGTGTTTGCGTGTGAGAGCCCTGCGGCTGAATGACAATGCAGATCCAGAATTTAAGGAAGAGGTTTTTGTTTTCAAAATGCAGGTGAAGTTTGAGCAGACTTGGGGCGTTCGCTGAGAGCCAAAGGGCTTCCTGAGGTGGAGAGGAGGATGTGGAGAGATGGTCAGATTTGCCTGTAAATAACCACTACATCCACTGTAACGCTTGAACCGCTTTTTATTTTTTTATTTTCTGGTAGCAGATGTGTTTGAACCAGGACTCTCTCTGCAAACGTGGGTTACAAGCGCCTCCTAGCGGCAAAAGTAGCATAGGGCAAGCCAGAGAAATTTGCTTGGAGCTCTCTCTCTCTTTCTGGGAAGGGCTCGCCTGTTGGGGGCTCTGCAGGATTTCTTGGGTCACAAAGGCCTGTGACCGCGAGGGCCACGCCGGTCCGGGGCCTGCAGAGGCCTCGCCTCTCTGACCTGTAGTCTCTGAGGCACCCTCGGAACCGGCGGGGTGACGACGGGGTCTTCTGCCAGAGTCGCCCGCCTCCCTCTGGGTAACTCCGGCCAAGGGCAATAGCAAGAGCATTTTGCTGGGGACCAAGATTCACAGAGTGGGCAGGGATAGCCTTCTTTACCTCCGAAACCCGAAACCATTGAACAGCCCCGCCCTGCCACCCACCAAACAAAACAACACTTTAAATTTGCCTTTTGAAAACACCTCTTAAATGTAACTGGTTTCTTCTCTCCCTTGCTGTGTCAATCAAGCAGATCCCGCCCCCCTCCCCCCGCCCAACCTTTTTCTTTTTCACTCTCTTTGGTGGACCCAGAATTGGCCGTGAGCATAGAACTAGCCTCCGTGGTGGGTTGGGGACCTTTTGAAGTGCAGGATCTCATATAATACTGTGTCCCTGGACACCCCATCACTGGGCGGCAAAGAGAGAAGCAATCTCTAGTGAACATAATCCTGCCCCCTGCCTCCGTGGCCCCTCCAGGAGGGCCAACCACCTGGGTCAAAACAAATTGCGTTCTAAAACAGAAGGGGAAAGTGGTGATTATTTGGAGGGAGGATATCAAAATCAATTTTCATAAAAGTCTTGGTGTATGAGAGTGATAAGGCACCTTCCTCTCTTTCATTGGGCTCTAAGTGCAGCAGAAATAGGGGGGCAGTAAGGATCCCACACATGCGTTTTACATTCCTAGTTACAAACTCTGAAACTAGGTAACCAGGTTGCTGTCTTCCCTACCCTTTCTAGAAAAGGCGGGAGGGAGACACATTTGTTAACCAGCGTTTGGATAAATGAGTGTTTGCAGTGACTTAACTTGACTTGAAAGCAATTTGTTTCTAAATCCTCTTGTTATTGCAGTGTGCCCAGAGCCTTGAGAGAAGACTTTATTTTTTTTTTAAGAAATGGAAGACAAAAAATTAAAATTGTCAATAAAGAGTATTTCAGACTCCAGGCTCGCCCAGGATTGAGCCAGATGGTTCTGGGCACTTGTCATTTCCAGCAAGGAGGGTGCAGAGAGCAAAAGCAAAGGACCTGGGCTGCATTGCATCCTTTAAGGGTAGCCATGCAATAGGTGTGTTTGTAGCAGGGTAACCTAACAAGAGGTGGGAAGGCAAAGCTCTGGAGCCAATCCCACAGACTGTGTTAGCTTTTATTCTAAAGAGTGAATGTGGGCTAGAGATTCTTGGGGGAGAAAATTCAGCCTATGCTATTGTAAGCTTTCAGGTAATTCTTTAGTTAGTGACTGTGTTTTAAGGCTTTGAACCCAACAGAGAATAAACCAATCCATGTTTGGGAGGACTGAGAATACTAGCTATTCCATGAAGCTTTATTTGATATTCAAAGTAGAAATGTTCTCTGTTTTGTTTAACCTAGTTAACATTGGTGTGGCTTCACGCTTCAGTGTCTTTCCAAGTGATCAGACAGGGCCAGCATTTTGTTAAACTCTAGACAGTGAATTAAAAGCACTGATGAGCTGAAGCAGCCCTCTAATGCAAAATGACAAATTGCACTTAAGCAATACATGAACAAGAAAATGATTTATGGATTTTTACAATGGTCTGAGCAAATGAAAGCAACATGAATTATACATCCTAATGCTCACGGTATCATTTTCTAATAGTACTGTTTCAGTTCAGATGCTATACTTTCACCCTTTCTATAAGAGATATTGATCAATAAGAGGTCCAAGAATATTTTTAAATTAGGCAATGGTGTTTGATACTGTTTGCAAATAGATATATTTTTTCCTTGAGTATGGGTAGTTGGTAGTGATGAACATTGAACATACTAACATTCCTGTTATCTCTCTTAGTGATAAATAAATAGTCCTTTGGATTTATATTTTGTTCCAATTCTTCCTTCAGAATCAAATAAATAGGTCTTATTAAGAATGACAATCTTTATTACATCATGGCCTCTTTTTCTGTAAATCAAAATGCATTACCTCATCTTACCCTTTTCTTTCATTGCTTTGGATATTGAAAAATCTCATTTCTCCAAAATGTCTTTATCCTTTTCATATTTGTTTTATCCTGTTTTGTTTTGTTTTTCAGAACATTGTTCAATTCCATAGTGTATTAAAGACACACTTGAGTTAGTAAAAAGGTGATAGCCTTAGTTGTTTGTTTTTTTCCCCTTTATAGACAAAATACATCTTATGACTGTTAAATTATAGAAGAAAAATCAATCAGATAAAATTTTATATGGTTGTTTTGCAGTCTGAAAAACTTTTAAAAATCTAGTTACCTCTGTGTT